CACTCTTCTGGTAAGTAAATTTGTTGTCCGCCTGCTTGCCTACCATATGCTCTTACTGCGAGCGTATAGAGGTATTTTCTCATCGTTCGTATCCACTGAGCCATCATTTGAAGGGGCCGGGGGGGGGAGGAGAAGGAAGGGGGACGAAAGAAGAAAGAAAGGAAAATGAGTAAGGAGGAAGAAGAAAGGAGAGAGGAGGGAGGCCTCGCGGTTGAGGCTGACAAGTATCCCAAGACGATTCTCACCATGGTGCTATCGCAATCACGACATCACTCTGATACGTGCCTCAGAGACGAACCCCGCGCTCAAGCAGTTCTAGGATCCCCCCCTTGCCCAAGTAGTCCTGTGCGTGATGGCGAAGACTGTCTCACTTTCGCGGCACCACAATGATTGACGGCGGCACTGCAACCATCATAAGTTGCACGTACATACGGTGGGATATGATGGGCGTACGGAAAAGGGAATCAGACTAGAAGCTTCGCACGGATGCGATGCGATTTAGAGCTCACAGCTGCGGTTCTAATTTCCGGCGGTGCGTTTGCATGGCCTTGTCATCTAGGGGGGGGGGAGGAGGAGGCGCGGCCCTTTTCAAGAGCAGGCCATTAACTACGGCTTTGACATTGGTTGGGTTTGCTCATCATGTGTGGCAACCTGGTTGTGCCAGTCTAGGATTCGTGTTGCCGGATGTCAGAGTGCGAAACAAGTTGAGCTTACCGCTTTATGTGGTAGCTGATAGGTCCGCATGATTTCCAACCATTGAAGCAGTCTCTTCCGATTTCAGAAACGGCCCCGGCACCTAAGCAGAAGCGAGAAGAATCGCCGCTTTCATCATCGGAACGGCATCAACGGATGTACGGCCCCGACCATCTCGTGAAAATTTTCATCCCTGTATCACTCTGCATGCTGCTGGTCGTGCTTTCCGTAAGAAATATAGAAGTTTACAGAAAAGACTATAAGATCCCGATGTGAGTTTAAACACGGTTTGCAGGTCGTTCTAAATGACAGGCCGAAACACTGATGAAAACAGAATGTTTTATGTAAAAGCTAGTGGCGAGAGCGTTCTGCTGATGGTCGTTACCGCAGGACTTGCCATGCCTAGAAGCAAAACTGGTCGCTCAGCAGAACCTCTTCTCTCATTTTGATTACAGTTGTTGGACTTTGCGGTACCAGTATGAATTGACGGCTGGTAGTTGCCTTAACAGTGGAAAAAAGGAGAGGACAAAGCCGGTGAAAACAATTAACATGGGGGGGGGGGGGTTAAAAAAAGACACTTCGGCCGAGTCACATATCAGTAAAGTTTACGCAGCCCAGAGAGAAGACGTGGATACGAGTACCAGGGCGGAAGATACCCAAGATGTTCCTCGATAAGCAGGAGCAGGCTCTTGTCCATCACCTTCATGAACACCAATATGAATGCCATCCAATTGCAGCCTGACTGGAGAAGGCCTATGGAATTCACGTCACCTCCAAACAGCTGCGAAACTTCTTGTATGGAGTCACCCATGGATAGCTACCTGGAGACCAGTACTCTTGATCTGGAAGACCTCCAACATCGAGCAGCTCCGACAACGTCGCTACGGTCCAGGATATCATCTTCACCGCAGTCGCCAAGGCGCCAGTTGATGTGTAGGGACCGGACGTACCTGGAATGAGAGACGCGAGTATTTCTTGCGCGCATGGGAGCTGGAAAGTGAGCACTGGCGGTTACATCGAGCAACTCGTGAAGAATATCCTCCCCACATGTCGTCGCCCGTACCTTCTTGGAAACTTTGTACTGCTACAGGATTAGGTGACACCACATGGAATCAAAGGGCGTTGGGAAAACTCTTGCCTACTTGGAATGGAGGGGCGTTGAGTACCTGAGGAAGGTGGAATATTCAAGCAGGTCATCTGACCCAAACCCCCTCAATTACCTGGTTTTTGGGCGGAGTTCAATAGTAGTCTACAGTGGCGGAGAAATCAACGATCTCGCTGAACTCAGGCACCCACTCACGGTGGCGCGGGTGGTGATATGGACTGGAAGTTCCTGGAATGGAAAGACCGACATTTTCTTCGTGGACCGCCGAACTCTAAGTTGAACTATGTACGGTTGACTCGACCATCTTCGTAGGAGAAGTATCTTGCTCAATGTGTCGCCTGTACCGGCTTGGAAACTTCGTACTGCTACAGGATCAAGTGCCATCAGCTGGAATTGAAGGGCGTTGGAGAAACTCTCGCCTACTTGGCATTGAAGGGCGTTGAGTACCCAAAGGATATAATGTTGCCGAGTGTGGGCCTTCGATGCTGGGACTGGGCGACCATCAACAGGTGGTCTAAGTGGCGGAGAATCAACAACCTCGTGTATCAGCCACCGATCACAGGTCGGCTGGCAGAGAATCTCTTGATGGCGTTCATCCAGAGGGCTGTGGCGTAGTTCGTGATAGAGTACAATATGTTGTTGAACATGATGGTGGAAATGTCAAATCAGAATTCAATAAGTTGTAACTTATATCGCCTCGAAAGTAGAAGATAAGTGTCTCTTTTGGGCCGCTGTAAATAAGGCTCTGATATTTGGCACATGTTTGAAAAAAAGGAATTCCTGCTGTACTGGCGAGAGACCAGTATTGCAAAGGTGAGGGGGGGCGGAGCGAGGAGACGGACCGCAAAGGTGAGGGTGGGAACGTGAAGCGAGTGAAACGACAGTGGCCTACCTTCAATAGAATGAAATTCAATATGATTACTCACCCCCGCTATGAAGATAAGACCTTAGGTAAATCTCGTCCCTAGGTAAGAGAGGCACCTTCTACGTGTACCATATCATTAAATCATGATGACTCTAGCGGCCCCATCATCCACTGCGGATCCGCAAATGTAGGGAATTGAGCCGACCATTTGAGCAAGGGAGAGAAAGGTTTGGTCTCTTATTTATACTGATTATCGTGGGTCATTCATTGGAACTTTCAATGATAATAGAAACAATTGTTTTTCGTATAAAATGTATTTCTTTCCAGACCAGAATTACAGCAAGTTCTCTACGTCGAACCCACAGCTGACGCATCGACGAAATTCTGGCATTCGGCCAAATATGTCGCACTGTTCGCTATTTTCATGGTTCTCGTCACATTCCTAGTACTGGCTCTTTTCTACTTCGAGTGGTACAAGGTGAGTCTTATTCCCATTCTGAAAGTTTGCCGAATTTCAGGCACAGTGGAGCAAATGACATTGACTGGAAGGGTACAGCATCGTGATGTGTGGTGGTGTAGGTACCCAGCCCCTCCGAGAGAGGGCGTCAGTACACTCTCCTACCACCTAAATGAGGATCTCGTTACGACTACACCCCTTCCCCAACACCTACCTACCAATTTTCCCACATTTTCCATTTTTTCAGTTTTTCCACCCAAAGATTTTCCGTCGAGCGGGGGGGGGGGATGTAGCCAATATGAGAAAAATCGCGCGAAAAGTCAACAACCAGGAAAAATTTTTTCCCAACGCAGCAAACTGCTTTTGAAGGCACACGAAAAACAAAATCCCTCACCCTTCTCCCAACGACCAAATACGACCCTCTATGTGCTTCACACAATGATGACTGGTGCTGCTGTCGCAGCGCATGATCGCAGTAGTTACTAAATTATCAAGTACGCATTATGTGGCAACGTGAACTTTTCTGCATGGTCTCATTGCGAAATCTTGTAACACAACCAGATGGGAACCGAGAGCACGTGTCTTGTGCTGAGGCTGCGTTCATACCTTGCAGCAGCGTCTATCAGCGTCTACCAGCGTCCACCAGCAACCACTAGCTTTCCGAGCGTCAGCGTCAGCGGCTACAGGAAAGTATATGCAGCTGTTAATCTAGCGCCTGCCAGCGTCTTGGGGGATAGGGAAGCATAGGTACCGATCTAGCGTCTGCCACTCACCAGTAGAGAGCATGGGGAAGCATTGCAAAACTACTAATGCACAGAATTATGCAATGTACGGTGCAGTGTAGTTGCAATTTCACGACGCCTAATCCAGTTGTTCGCTACCCTCCTACTTCCCCATACTTTCTACTCCCAATCGCTGCAATCGCTGGTGAACGCTGGTAGACGCTAGATCGATATGTCTACTTTCCTAGCCGCTGACTGAAAGCTAGTGGTCGACGCCGGTAGAAGCTGATGCACGCTACCGCGAAATGACCTCACTGTCTTATTGTCAGCGCAGCGATAAGTCAGGAAAAAGGAAACAAAATCCAGCGCTGTCCCGCTGCAATCGTGAAATCAATAAATTCTCTGAAACTTGTCCGATGAATGGGAACAACAGTGGGACAAGGATGAGAGCAAGAAGTTGACGAAGAGGAACTCGATTAACAGCGACAGGGACACGTAGGAGGCAGCCTGAAAGACATTTTCCGCACAAATAGGCAGTGGCATTTTCAAGAGATAGTGCTGGGAGCAAAAGCGGCTATAGCTGAGATGTGGTTTCTCCGCGGCGTTCCGGGGGGGGGGTGGCGAGCCGGCTTTTATTCCTGCGTGAGAAAGCTGAATGGGCGAGACAGGTAGAGCTGCGGCGCGTTCACTCGTTCGACTCCCCCTGCGCCTGCATTTTTGAAGTCGCCTATCTCTCTCTGTGCCTGTGGCCGTTCATCCAACAATCTAGGTCATACTCTCTGCTAGATGGCGCGATGGCACGACTGGAAAGTAACGCTCCACACCTCTAAACTAAATACAACACTTTCTGTACAGTCTCCAACTCTCCCATCGCACGGCTTTGATAATGCAAGCGATTTCTGATCAAATGAAGACGAACGCCCATCTCCGCGGATCCTTGTCCTTGCCGTGTGTGAGGGAAATGAGTCAGCAGCTTGCACAGCATATTGAGGGGGTGAATGGCCGCAAGCTTACAGATGGTGGAGATTGATTTCGGAGCGGGTGGGTTTTACGGATTCTCCTGTCAGCCGTGCAGAGTCGAAGCGGCTCATCCTAAGCATCTCCTACTCATTTGGGTTTGTGGTAAGAGATAAATCCGGATGCCTGTGATCCATACTCCGCCCCCGCGCCTGCAGCACCGTTGTACCACCAAGCGCGCGGACCTATGTCTGCACAGCTTTTATTTCTAATTGTTCTCCTACCCAGAATGAGTATGTCTTCTACTGCGTGAACTTGGCATTGAGGTGAATGTTGCACCTCGGAGGTAGCGCAGGCGGAACATGGGGACGGCACTCGGACCTTTCTAGTGAAGGAGCTGGCACGCTACTGCAGCTGCCGACGCAGTCGCCCTGTACATGGCTATGAGCGTCCACAAGGAGGTGGGCTTGCTGTTTTGCCTGGCACTACTTGCCCTTTACCAAGCCCCAATCTTTCTTCCAAGAACAGGCCAGTTTCTGGTCAACGTCTTTTTCTGTAGTTGGGCCAAGAACTGGGTTAAAAATTTGTACCCTAAGGTAGTTAGCACCCTGAACATGAATAACATCACCGCTCGGCAATGGAACCTCAATGGTGCCGCGCTCCACGGGCGTCCGGCTGGCAGCCAAAATACTGAGACCATTAAATCACAAAAATTCCGCTGAAAACTTGGTCTAATAGGGGTAGTTTGACCATTCCCTGATCGCATCAGACGAATATCAATCCCTCGACACAAAAACCTCCTGGCACCACGAGCTACAGGCGCTGGCGCCGAACACCGAGCGAGCCGACACGGGCTACCTGCGGCGCGAGCGTCAAGAAGTATTCGCGGCTATATGTTGATATTCAATAGATTCAGAGAGGTTGCACTTCCTAGGAGACAACTTATGGCCAAATTCTGTCCACTCGAGAAAAAAGTCGATGCAAAGAAACTGCTTCAGTTTGCTGGAAGGTTGTGGCACGAAAGGGTGAAATAGTAGTCGTTTTGCCTTCAATGCTTAAACAGACATAGTACGCTACACCATTGAGGGTGTATGTGACTAGCAGCCCCCCAGCTGTCGAAGCATAGCGGTTTCCCCGTTCAAACATGCGCAGGAATGGAGATACAGGACCGTGAAACACGCTAGTTCGTCCATGCTCCGCCCAATGCCTTTTTGCGGCGCAGATTCCCGTCCTTCATAACATCCGTCGTAAGCGCGCGTGTCGCGTGCGGCTCCTTGGACAACTTCCAAGGACTCTGCCAAAGTCCTTTAATTGCGCTTTCAAATACAAGTAAAACGCAATTTCCTGATGCGGATAACATTGGAGGTGCTGCAAAATAAGAACAGAAGATGATGACGAGGGTCAGAACTCAAGCAACTGTTGCCACTTCTGCTCCCTCGGAGGCCGCGTATGTCTACGGAAACATGAAGATACAAACGGCATACTCGATAGTTTAATACAACTAAAACGCAATTTCCTAGTGCGAATAAAATTTTAGGTGTTGCGCAGCTTCAAAATCCATTACAAGGAGATGAAGATACAGAAAAAAAAGGAAATGAAGTTAGAATAGAAATGAAAGCAAACGATGTAAATGTAAATAGAACAAAAATGAAAAAATCAAGGAAAGGCAAATTAGTTAAAATCGCCTGTAAATTTCTACGATCCGGCGCGAATCCGGCGCCAAAGCCATAGAAATACTTAGAACAAACGAGTGGGACGCTTGGGCTGTTTTTATTCTCATGTTTTGTGGGAATGCGCGGCCTCTGATGGATACTGCAGATGCAGCCGAGTTGCTCTTGAGTTCTGGCCCTCGTCATCATCTTCTGTTCTTATTTTGTAGCACCTCCATGTTATCCGCATCAAGGAAATTGCGTTTTACTTGTATTATGAAGAGCGCAATTAAAGGACTTTGGCACAGTGCCAAGTCGCCGCACGCGACACGCGCGCTTACGATATATGTTATGAAGGACGAGAATCTGCGCCGCAAAAAGGTGTAAGGCGGAGCATGGAGGAATTAGCGCGTTTCACGGTCCTGTATCTCCATTCCTGGGCATGTTTTGGGCGGGACGCACGACACGTCGCCAGCCGGGGGCTGGATAAGGCTGTTAGTCTCATACACCCTCAATGTTTTTGAGCGCACCATGAGTTATTACGGTTTTTCCTTGGTATGATCCGAGGACACCGGCCAGTTTTTTTTTCCTCGTTAGTCAATGTTGTGTAACTGCGCTGAAGTGATCCTATACAAATGGGAGCTTAAGAGCCTACTCATTTTCAATTCTGTATTAACCAGTTTTGCTCTGCAGGGCTACTTGCCGCGCCGCTTAGCATTTAAGTGTAGCATTTCAGCTGTCTGATGACCTAAAATCTTTCTTGCTCATCGTTGCCAATGCTCAGCTCCACCCATCTAATCCTGGGACTTTCAATTATTTAGCACGATATCGGTTGTTTTGTCCCATTCTATTAGTCATATGAATATACGTTTCTGTTCTACCCTGTTATTTTTCATACTGACACACTAACAAAGTTTATTGGCGTTCCCAGATTCATTACTATACTGATTTTCTTAAATTTTCAGTGTCTATTTGGATACGTTTTGTTTGCAACTTTTATGCTCCTATCCTTTCTACTGTTTTATCAGACCTTGTAAGTTTATACCTAACCTTACTAAAGGAATAAATGCAATTTAGTTCATGTCCAGTTCAGCGCACACTTTCCCAGGCGCGGCGTTGACATTAGGTCATTTCATTCAAAAACGTGGAGACCTGTAGAGGAATGGCAGGAAAGCAAGGTGATCGGCCGCGGGCTATCACTTCTTTCAGAAGCTTTAGCTACATTCTTGGAATTTGGCTAACCTCTCCACAATCTCGAGAAATTGGAAGGAAACTCGAGTGCTCAAATTCAGCACGATCCAGGTAAGAAGGAAAGGCAGTTGGCACGATAAACCCCTGAGACGAGAAGGATTAATATGCCTGGCAGGACGGAATTCCGCGACCCTGAGCAGCGCTGCGTAGCGCCTTTTCCAAGGAAGTACCCTTATAAGGACCCTATCAAGCTGCAACATACCGACCCGAACGCCCACCACGCCCGCCCGCCCACAAATGGACGACCGTACCTGATGCTCGTATTGCTTCATTTGCGAAGTAAAATATGAAGCGAAGGGATTGGTATGAAGCGGCCGCGGTGCTGCATGGATATATGAGTACATACGTGCAGTACCTACGTAGCGGTTATTGGCAAGATGCCTACGAGAAACTCGTCCGAAATTTGAGTGCTTATGAACGAAG